AGTGTCGCGGAGGCAACGGGAGATTATCAGCAAGGGGCAAGGAAGCTTACGAGTGCGCCGACGCCGACACCGGCAATGAGCGAGGGGATGGAGCGGGTCTTTGCGAACCCGATCAGACCGCCTACGCCGCAGAGGCCGGACATGGTGAATGCGATGTGCTCAGACATGGTCGTGTGTTGGTGTGACTGTGGCAGTGGCAGTGGGTGGGTGTTGGCGGTGATGGTGATGGTGTCAGTGCAGAGACAGGAAGAGCGAGCGAGGTGGAGGAGGAAAGGACGAGGTCGAGAAGCCAAAGACGCCGCTCCGTGGCCGCCCCCAAACCGGTACCGGGGCCGGGACCGGGGCCGGAGCCGAGCAGGGGGGGCCAAAGGTGAGCCATGCATGGACCAGCTCCTTCGTCGTTCACCGGTGGGCCCCTCCCCGCCGCGCCTGGAAGAAAGCGACCGGGGCGGCGGGGGGGGGCGAAAATCGGGCGCAGCCAACAGCAGAGCGACAGCGTGGCCTGCTGGCCTGCCTGTTGGCGGGCCTCTGCAGACCAACGGCGGCCAGGCCCTTCTTGTTGCCAGGCGGGCCCAGGCACACGCCGGAAAGCCGTCTGGTCAGGCCAGGCCAGGTCGAGGCCAGGTTCAGGCTGGAGCCAGAGCAACGTAACGCCGTCCGCCCGCCCACTGCGCCCAGCCCAGAGGCAGCTAGGTCCTGCTCTGGTCAGCCAACGAAGCCTTGTCTCGTGGTGTGCGTGCGTTCGAGGGCCGACCTTTGCCAGACCGCATTCGCCGGGCGGTGGGGCCAGGCTGACCTTTCCTTCTCGGGTCGGCCCGCCGCCGAGCCAAGCAACGCTCCTCCGTTCGTACCCTTTCCCTCTGCCCTCGTCCCTCTCCCCATATCCGTCCCTCCTTATCGCCACCACCCTCGCATTGTCGCCAAGACCTCGCCGCACAGCCTCCGCCACCACCACCACCTTAGACTCCGTCGCCGTCGTCCGAATCGTCGCAATGGCCACCACTGAAGCTGCTGCTGCTGCTGCCCCCGCCGCCCCGGCCACCGAGGCCAACGGCTCCAAGCCCCAGCACCAGCGACCCCCGCCCAACCCCGACGCCGTAGAGATTGTCAAGCAGTCCGGCGGAAAGCCCGACGCCGCCGACAACACTGCAAAGCTCGACGCCATCAGCAAGCAGATTGAAAAGGTCCAGAAGGAGCTCGTGAGTTCGTCGCTGCTGATGGCCGTCCCCGCCCTGCCCTGCCCTGCCCTGCCCCTGCCGGCTGTCGCGTTGCGTTGCGTCGCGTGCGCTGGACCTGACCATCGTCCCATGCTCCTGCTCCATGCTTCACACCCTGTCTTCTGCTTGCTTGCCTCTTGTGACGCCCCGCAGAACCAGGTCCGATCGCTCCTCTCGGGCGCCGGCCCTTCCAAGGACTCGCCCGCCGGACAGCGCCGTGCCCAGCTGCGCAGCGAGCTCGACGAGCTGAGGAACAAGCAGGCCGGCAACAAGGGATCCCGCGGCAAGGTGCTCGACGACCTCCGCGCCCTCCAGGATGGCATCGCCAAGAAGGTCAAGGACCTCCAGGCCGCGAAGTCCAAGGCTCCCTACAAGACGGTCGAAGACGTCGACGACCGCATCCGACGCCTCGACCAGCAGGTCGAGGCCGGCAGCATGAAGCTCGTCGACGAGAAAAAGGCGCTCGCCGAAATCTCGCAGCTGAAAAAGGGCCGCCGCAACGTCGAGGCGCTCGCCTCGCAGCAGGCGTCGATCGACTCGGACCGCGCCAAGGTCGACCAGCTCAAGGCGACGCTCGACGACCCAGAGAGCAAGGCGCTCAACAAGCGCTACGACGAGATCAAGGCCGAGCTCGACGAGATCCAGAAGGAGCAGGAGAAGCAGTCGGGATCGCGCGGAAAGCTCCTCGACCAGCGCACCGCCCTCTCGGCGCAGCTCGACGACCTCTTCCAGCAGCGCCGCGACCGCCAGGCCGCCTTCCGCGCCGCCAACGACCACTTCTACCAGAAGCTCAACGCCGAGCGCGAGCGGAGGATGGAGAAGCAGCGCGCCGAGAGGCAGGCCGCCGAGGAGGCCAAGCGCAAGGAGATTGAGCAGCAGATGCGCGAGGACGCCGCGCTGCCCGCCTTTGCAAAGGAGATTGAGGACTGCGACGTGCTCATCAACTACTTTAGCTCAAAGGCCGGCGCCAACGCCGCCAAGGCCGAGTCGGCCAAGGCGGACCAGGCCGCCGCCGCCGCCGCCGCCACTTCGAACCCCGTCGGCGGCAAGGCGCTCAACATCCGCCAGGTCAACGCCGACGACATGGTGCCCAAGGGAGCCGTTCTCAAGAAGAAAGACGACGAGGCCGAGTCGTACTTTGTCGGCAGCGGGTCCAAGTCGAAGAAGAACAAGAAGCAGAACAAGCGCGGCACGCCCCTCAACCTGGGCGGAACCGACGAAAACAACGGCAGCACCACCAACGGCGCGGCGGCATCACCGTCGTCGGCGGGGGCAGCGGCGACGGCAGGCGGAGCGCTGCACGTGCCGCTCGGCACCCTCTCTGCGCTCCTTAGCCTCTCGATCCCGCCGCCGGCCAACGCGGCCGACGTGGGCCGCGTCGTCGAGAACCTCAAGCTCAAGCGCGAGTACTTTGTCTCGAACCAGCAGCGCGTCACGCGCGAAAACATTGAAAAGGTCGAGCGCATCCTGGCAAAGTCGAGCATCAAGGACCAGCCCGCCGCCGGCGCTGCAGGCGACAGCGTCGAGGAAAAGGACAAGACGGCCGACGCCGTCGAGGCCTAGACGCGCGCAGCGACGCTGCCACCTACCCCTCGTCCACTCTGCCGATCCTCTCTCCCTCCCTCCAAGATAACGGGCGCATCCATATCTCCCCCTGCGGCCTCTGCACAGTTTCGCTTGTCTATAAACGCCGTATCGACGCCAATCCCACCTTCGTTTTGTCTCGCTCCCGCCCCCGTCGCATCTGAACCCACCTAGGGACGAGAGGGCTGGCAGGGACCCGACCCGACCCAGCGCCTACGCGGACGGCGGCTTGATGCGGTCGAGGATGGCCTTGACGGCGCTGGGGTCGAGTTTGTGGCGTCGCTCGGCGGTGAGGAGGCCATTGACCTCCTGTTCGACGTCGGCGAGCTGGGTATAGCAGAAACCCTGCACGACGCCGCCGGCGACGAGCGCGGCCGTGAGCTGGCCAAACTGGTCGAGGAACTGGGCCTGGTCCGCCGCCTCGCTGTATCCCCACCCTGCAGCGCCGCCCTTGACGGCCAGACCGCCGTACTCGGTTACGAGGATCGGCAGAGGCAGCGGCAGCTTCGACGAGGAAGTCGAAGGTGCGGCGGTGGGCCCCGCGACAAAGATGGGGTGGCCCAGCACCTTTTCGCGCAGCGCCGCGGCGCGGTCGGCGTAGGATGCCGCCAGATCTGCGGCGGGTCGGTAGTCGTGGATAGTTATCAGGTCGGTGCACACGTGCTCCCACCCGTCGTTGTCGACGACGGGCCGGGTGGGATCTGCGCGATGCCCCCGGCGAGACCGGAGCGGGGGAGAGGTGAGTGTCCTGCGGATGCGGATGCGGATGCGGATGTTCGCGCTCCTCGATGTGCCCCAGCGCAGACTCACCGAGCGACTTGGTGAGGTGGTGCAGCGACGCCAGATGGGCGCGTTGCTGCGCCGAGACGCCCAGCGCTGGCACGCCCCACGACTACCGAACGGGCAAAAGCGTGGCAAACGAGGTCAGCTCAGATCAGTCCGGATGGCACCGGGCCCGGCGTGCCAGCACAGACGCACCTCGTTGACCGGGACCCAGGCGACGATGCACGGGTGCGAAAAGTCGCGGCGGATCACCTCCATCCACTCTGCGATGAAGCGGCCGACGTACTTGGCCGAGTACTCGTACGCGTTGGCCATCTCGCCCCAGACTGGACGAGGGGACGGGATCAAGCGGTCAAAATTGGACGGTTCAGCGGTTGCGCAGGTCACGGATGCGATCTGCGAGCGGGCAGTCCCCGACGCGCACTCACCAAGGAAGCCCAGACGGTCGGCCTCGAAAAAGAAGCGCGGATCCTCGACCTTCTGGTGCTTGCGGCAGCCATTGAAGCCGAGCTCCTTTGCCCTTGTGATGTCCACCTGGAAGGCGTCTTCGCTCGGCGCTGTCATGCCGCTCTTGGGCCAGTAGCCCTGCAATAGCGAGGAAAGGATGCGGAAAGGTGAGGGTCAGCGAGGGGCACGGAAGACGGCTCCAGCGATGCCGTCCAGCGCGCACCTGGTCCAACAGGAGCTTCTGGAAATAGGGCCGATGGTTGAGGCAGAGCCGGCCGCTGTCGTCGACCGAGACCTTCCGCATGCCGACATAGGTGAAGATCTTGTCTATGAGCATTGGCACGCCGCCTTCCGGGTCGAGCGTGTAGCTGACGGTGAGGTCGTACAGGGTCGGATGCTCTGGCGACCAGAGGGCCAGGCCATCGTCCCAGGCATCTCGGTGCACTTCGGGAGGCAGCACGTCCTTGGAGTATAGCGACGGTCGGAAGCTGCGCGATGGTTGTGTACCAGCCGATCGTACGTTGACGACGAGAGAGCAGCAAGAAGACTCGTTGCTAACCGCGATGGCCGCTGAGGTGCACTTGTACCCATGCAGGCTAGCTTCGACCTTGATCCAGCCCCGGTCCGGACCATGCTCGAGCCCCTGCAGATCGACATCAACTCGGACTGTGCCAGAGTCGATGTCGGGCGTGGTGGCGACGTGGGATATGTGAGGTCCCGGCACGGCCTCGAGCCAGACCGTCTGCCAGATTCCAGTGGTGGGCGTGTAGAAGATGCTCTCGGGCGCAGCATTGCCGTGCTCGTCTTGCTTCCAGTACTGCTTGCCGCGCGGCTGGCGGAGGTCCTGTGGGCTGTCGCGAGCCTCGACGACGACTATGGCCGCCTCTTTGGATGTCAGGGAGATGTCCAGCTCGGCGCGGATGTCGGCAGAGAATCCGACGTGGCCTCCTATGTGGTGGGCCACCTGGCAGCCGTTGACCCAGACGCGGGCCTCGTAGTCGACGGCGCCGAAGTGCAAGAGGACCCGTTGCGATCCCTCGCCCACCAGCTGCGCCGTATCTTCGTAGGCGATGGCCTTTGAGTACCAGACGGCCGGGACAGCGGTTGTCTTGTGGACGCTCGAGAGCAACGTCTGATGGGCGAACGGAACATTGATCCGGGCGCCTCTGGGCGCGATTCCCGCCCGGTCGAGCCCGAGCTTGATGATATCGCGTCGCTCTTCGGGGGTGCGAGGAGCTTCAGCACTGAACGCCCAGTCTCCGTTGAGGTTGAGTTGGCAGATGCGACCGTCGTCGTCGTGTCTGGGATCGGCCCCCATCCGGACCATGCGAGGCCGCGGATGGGATTTACGGAGCCGTTGCAGCGTGGCCCGGATAGCACTCGCGATGTCGTCCTCGCCGATTTCGACGCGCTGTCTCTTGAGCATCTTGGCTTGCCCTGCTTCGGTGGTGACTCAAACGACGGCGGTGGGGAGGATATGGCGGTGGGTTGGTAGGAAGCCCTAGCGACCAGGCCAGCTGGCGGGGGAGGTGGTCCGAGCGCAGGGCCCCGCACCGTGGCGCCTTTGTCGCCGGCCTTGTCGCCGAAAAATCGAGAGAATAAAAATAAAAACCAGGACCGATGCGGACCCGGGCCCCTCTGAGGTGACGACGAACGCGAAGATCGAGCTCTGGACGCCACCCGACTCAGCTCGCCCGCTCGAGTGACTTAGCTTCACATCCTCGCGCCAAGCCCTGGCCAGCCCGGGCCTGGCCTGCCTGGGCCACTCCCACGTACTCATCCCGAGGTGACGTCGACGGCAGCTCTCTAACGACGAGGAGGATCATCGCATCTCTCTACGGCTGGCGGTGGTGACGCCGACTCCATCGACCACGGCTTCTTTGTCCGCAAAGATCGGGGCGGCCAAAGCGGTATGCGTTGGCGACGTACGCCACCTCCGTCGGGGCATGACTGCGCAGGCCAGCAAGGCGGTCGGAGCGCTCGATTCTGCCCCAACCCTGATCACGCCGAGAGCCCCATCTGTCCCGGCCGCAACAACGAGTACCTATCCGCCTCCTCGACGTGTACCTAAGCAAGCAGGGCGCCACGGCGTTGAAGGCAGGCAACGATGGATGACCATCCCGGCCTGTCACGAGCACGCACGCACGACGCCTCTTCTTGCTCGCTCAACCTGCTTGCTTGTCGGTACGGAAGAGGCCGAAGCAAGAAATAAAGCAAGCAAAGCCTTAAATTGCGAAGCGAGGTGCTCGCCTCGCCTGCATCCTGCCTTGCCTTTGCATTCGAGACCGGAACGCTCGCCCGCCTGCTGCTGTGGCAGCGCATGGACCAGAGGACACCCGCGCCTCGAGTCAGGCTATCCCGGACGTTCCGTTATGCTCTCTTGCGAGGGCGTGATAGGTCCGCCTGCGAGCACGCTGCGGTTCCTGCACCGCCGCCGCTGCCGGCCGGGGAATGGTCGAAGGCCACCACGGCTTCCTCTGCAGCCTCGTCGCCCGCGTCTGTCCTCGGTTGAGTGGATGGTCGAAGAGGCAGACAGGCAGGCCAGGGCGTGGCGCGGGCTGAAGCCAAGACACACAGGGCAGCGTGGCGCGAGGTAATAGAGCAGAAAGCACGAAAGTCTGGGCCTGGGCCTTTGGCTCGACGCAGATAGGGTATTCGCCGGCAGAGACTGAGGCTGCAAATTCGAACTTGGACCCCGAGGCCCCAGCCAGGCCCGACCTTGGCCTCGGCCGCGCCTTTTCCGCGCCCCGCGGCGTCTTTTTCTTCGCTCGGATCGCCCGTCCCGCTCGGGCCACGGCGTGCCATAGCGGGCTTGACAGGCGGGCGGGGGCGATCAAGTTTTCCGTCAGAGCGACAGCGTCCGCTACCGTATGTACATACCGTACGACGCGGTACAGAGTACGGCACAGGGATACGGTGGCGGGCGTCGGTGGCAAGATTGCCGCAGCGAGGCCTCGACACCAGGTGAAGACCGGAAGCAAGCGGCTCAACCTAGGCCTCTTCGACCTGCATGCCACCTAGCCTACTGCCCCGGAGAAAAGCAGGCAGGGTCGATTGTTCCGCGGAAACCTTCTCCAGCCTGCACGCTCTTGCAGCAGGTGGGGCCCCCCGGCCAGCGGGAAGCCGCACCGCGCCGCTGTACTGCACCAGAGACAAGCCAGAAGCTCAGCCAATCGGGAAGCGTTGTCCCAGGTGGGGCGTACGTTGCAAGCAGCCTGCAAGCCGCCTCGTGTCCGGACCAATCCTCAGCCGCCCCGCGTTACCGTACCATTCTTAGATTGCTCTCGACACCGGTACGAACGAACGTGTAGGCAGGCAGGCATGCATATGCCTGCCTGCCTCAAGCCGACAGAAGGAGGCGCGGTATGCTGACTCGGGCGCGCCCGGAGAGGCAGACTAGGCAGTCCGCCTGGCCTGCCATCGTCGGCCCGCATCCGAACATTCCTTCGCGAGATGGGCATCTGGCCGATCCTCGGCCGGACCAGGCCGAAACGTGCTCCTCGGGGGTTGCGCGAGCACAGCGACAGGTAGGCGGCAAGGTGAGCGGCGGCGGCTCGAAAGGTGGCTCAGCCAGGCCAGGCCCGAACGACGACATTTTTTTCTGACAAGCGCACGCGTCGCCGGACCGCATGCGAGATACAGGAAGAGGCAGGCAGGGCAGGGCAAGGTCAGGGGGAAGACGGTGTTCCGACGCCACCAGAGCACGTACGGAAAGGCCAGGTGAGGCGGCGTCTCGACGTGTCTGCGACCAACGAGGCCGCGCCCTAGGCGGGGAGCAGATGTCGCTGGCGAATGAAGCCTCGAGGCTGCCCCCCTTTGGCCGCTTGGCGAGCCTGCGGAGAATGAAAAACCGCAGGCCAAGCGACGGCGTTCAAAGGAGGCAGCAGGCAGGCAGGCTGGTAGGCGTGCGGTCTGTACCGCCTACGGTACGCTGCCCACAGGCACGCTGCACGCAGAACCCGCGGGGACTTGAGCAAGGGGAGGGAAGCAGCCTACCCTGGGGCAAGCGCAAGAGCGACCAAAGCAAGCAGAGCAAGCCGGCCTGCGCCCAGCCAGGCCAGCAGGCCAGACCCGCCCAGCCTCCGCCCGCGCCGAAGGGTAGGCAGGGTGAGGCGGCCAATCCGGTCGCGGCCGACGCTCGAGTGGCCTGCCAGCTAAGGCGTGGCCTCCTCTGGCCAGCACATCTGGAACGGTCGACTGGCAGGGCCGGGCCTTGGCCGCTTCGGCCGTGCTCGACCCTCCTGCTCGCGGTTCAGTCAGAAGCCTTTTTTCCTCTCCGTCTGCGATCCTCATCGATCCCCTGACTGAACGGGACGGACACGGAATGACGAAAGGGCTGGCGATCCCAGCAGCGGGAGCATGATGGATGATGTGTGGTGGTGAGCGCAGTGAGCGCGTCGATGACAGGCGGGATCTCGTCCAGCGGCCTGCGATGTGGAGTTGTCTCCAAGGTCGTCGACGCGACGGTCAGGCCGGCCCAGGCGGCTCGGCCGGTGGTTTGGTTGGTGGAGCCTGGCCTGGCCAGGCCAGCTGGCAAAACGGCGAGCAGGCGAGGCGAGGCGAGGCGAGGCCAAGCCAAGCCCGCCGGCCTACGCTTTGCTTTTCTTGGGGGCTGGGAGGTGCGCGCCAGCAGCGAGAAGCGGGCCCCGCATTGGCCCCGTTGAGTCAGAGAGCGGGCGGGGGGGAAGGGCCATGGCACCGGCGAGCCAGCAGGGCACGCACGCACGCACGCACGCACGCGCGGGGAGGAAGGAGGCAGGCGCTGGCTGGCTCGGTGGCTGGCTCTGGGCGGCGACGGCGGCGCATTCGGCATCTTGGAGACCGCCATGAAAATCGTGGGTGAATCAGGAGAGGGCGACGGCGACGGCGAGCAGGCGGTCGAGCCCCTCTCCCGCCCACTGCCCGCCTCACGGGCCAGGCCCAGGCAGACGGGGCGGGGCGGGGCGAGGCGAAGCGGAAAAGGTGGCCGGCTTGGGGTTTTCCACGCAGCACCGCTTGGCTGTGTGCGGGGCCCAGGTGGCAAGCCACAGGCAGGCGGGGGCGGCGAGCGACGGCGTCTCTCTCTGTCGCTCCCTCTCCGCCCCTCTCTGCTCGCCCCCCGCGTTGCCCCCATCGCCTCCTCTGCTCCTTGCCCGCTCCGGTACAAAAGGCGACGCCTTCCCCTCTCCCTCCTTCCCCGACCCTTTTCCTCTCCATCGTCTCCCTCTTTCTCAGCCGTCGCCGTCGCCTTTGTCCGTCGCCCTCTATACCACTGCCCTTCTCCCGTTGCTAGCGACACCGTCGACGACCTTGGCCCTCGCCCTCGCATTTCACTCCTCTCCCTCAACAATCTCGACCACCATGTCCGCCTTCGCCTCCACTGTCAGGTCCAGCCTCGCCCGCGGCCTCTCGGCCCGCGTTGCTCAGCGTGAGTGCTCCCTTTCCTTCCGATGGCCGCGCGCGCGTCCCTGGCTCTCTGGGTCTGCTCGCCAGACCACGCCTCCGAAGCGGACCGTCCAAGGCGAGTCTCGGCGCACCTACCGCAGATGCTTCGCCTCGTCTTCCGGGCACGGTCCTTCTTCTCTCTTCCGAAGTGGGCCCGTGCGCCGGAACTACGCGGCCTCTGTCTTGTCTCGACCAATCTAGCTTGCACGTCGAGAGCAGCATGCTGATTCTCATCCATCCTCGCCCCTCGACTTGCATCGCGCAGCGTCGATGCTCTCCCGGGTTGCCACCGCGGCTCCCCGCAACTTCTCCGTCTGGGCGCCCAACAACATGGTCCCTTCGGCCGTCAAGCCCGCCGAGCAGGCCAACCCCGGACCCCCGCCTCCGGTCGAGAACATCGGTGTCGACGCTGTGTGAGTGTCAATCCTGACGATGCGTGCGCGTGGCATAGCAAATCTTTGCGTTGTGCATCGCCATCGCCTTCTGGAGCCCACCCGCTGACCTCGCTGCTGTCTGCTCTCTCCCTGCATTTGTCCCCCACAGCCTGCGCCAGAACCCCAACAGCCCCGACAACCACACCACTACCATCTTCCAAGAGTTCTCCCTAGAGGGCAAGACGGCCGTCATCACTGGTGGCAACGGTGGTCTCGGTCTCGAGATGGCCCTGGCCTACGTCGAGGCCGGCGCCCACGTCTACGCCATCGACCTGCCCAAGGAGCCCTCGGAGGAGTTCAAGATTGTCGCCGACCACTGCCGCATCATGAACCGCCACCTCAAGTACGTCTCGGCCACGGTCACTGACCACGAGGACATCAACAACGTCATGGACTTCATTGTCAAGGACTCGGGCACCGACTCGCTCGACGTCTGCGTCGCCGCCGCCGGTATCCTGCAGACCTACGCCGCGCTCGACTACCCCGCCGACGAGTTCCGCAAGGTGTTCGAGGTCAACACCACCGGTGTCTTCCTCACCGCCCAGGCCGCCGCCCGCAAGATGCACGCCAACAAGAATGTCTCGGGCTCCATCATCCTGATTGCCTCGATGTCCGGCTCGATTGTCAACCGCGACCACCACTGGGTCGCCTACAACGCCTCCAAGTCGGCCGTCCTCCAGATGGGCCGCAACCTCGCCGCCGAGTGGGGTCCCAAAGACATCCGCGTCAACTGCATCAGCCCCGGCCACATCCGTACTCGCATGACGGCCGCCTACCTCGACACGAACCCCCACCTCCTCGCCAAGTGGTCGAGCTCCAACCCCCTCGGCCGCCTGGGTCGCGCCCACGAGATCCGCGGTGTCGCCGTCTGGCTCGCCTCGAGCGCCAGCTCGTTCTGCAACGGCTCCGACATCATCGTCTCGGGTGGTCACAACATCTGGTAGACGCCGTCGTCACACCTGGCGCCCTTTTTCTCTCTCTCTCTCTCTCTCTCTCTCTCTCGCTCTCTCTCTGGGGTCGTGGATACGCACATGGGCGGTCCACGACGGGGTCATCCATCATCATCAACACAAATGCAAACCCAACAAGTTACGCCGCCCCCTTTCTCTCTCTCTCTCTCTCTCTCGCAATCTTAGAGGTCTTGTTGTCGAGGGACACTTCACAAACATACCAGCTGCTGCCTCCCGCTCGCTCCCGGTCTCACTCCGCCATTCCCCACCTCCTCACCTACGCACACACACACAGTCCAACCCGCGCGCGCGCTCTCTCTCTCTCTGTATATAAACTCTCTGTCTCTTGATTCAGTGGGTCGCATCGAGCAGGCCGGGCGCAACGCCTGCTCGGTGGATAGCAAACGAAAAGGTGAATACGACATCGAATCCTGCCTGCATCGTTCACGTTGCCTGCGACAAGAAACCGCCAACCGCGGCGGGTATGCAGGCCCCGGCTGCTGGTCTCCGCCTCGGCGTTTTGGCGCGCATAGACGGAGTCAAGTCCGTGCGCGAGGGCTCACGACGCTCGAATTTTTTTTCGGGCCAATCGTTTTTCGGCCGGCTGAGCGAACCACGTAAGCAGCGAGGGATTTGCTCGAACCTGAGCTGGGCCAGCCAGGCCTGGCGAGTCAGGGTCGCTTTCTTCTCGGAAGTGGGCCGGTCGGGTTCCTTTGCCTGCCCTGCGAGGCAGCTCTCCACAATTTCTCACACACCACCTACTCGTCACTCATCCCCGCCACTTCCTTCACCTACGTCGACCCACCGACAATCAGAGAGATGCTCAGCAGATCGACAATGATGCTCGCCCGCTCTGCGCGATGCGCGGCGGCGGCGGGGTCCAGCACCAGCACCAGCACCAGCGCCAGCACTGCCTCGACGTCTCGCCTCGTCGTCTCGCGCGTGGCAAAGGGCGAGGGGTGTCGATCCCTCTCGTCCGTGGCCGCCCCGTCTCGACCGGCATTGCCCCTGTCATCGCTGGCTGCCAAGGTCGGCCTAGCGAAGAGGGCGTTTCACACCACACCGACACCGAGGCATGGCGGCATCGAGCGGCCGGCTCCTGGAACCGGGTGAGTTGAACGGCGGCGATAGTGGGTCTGCCGGAGGGAGGGTGAGCGTGCTGCTAAGACCTCCGGCTTCCACCCTGCCTGCATCCCTCGGTCTCTTGCTCGAACCGCTTTCCCGCACCCGCGATGGTGCCGGCACGACCCCGACAGGATCAAGCTGACCTTTCGCGACTCGAAGGGCAACGACATCAAGACAGTCGAGGCAAACGAGGGCGACGACATCCTCTCGATTGCGCACGAGTACGACGTCGACCTCGAGGGCGCCTGCGAGGGCTCCATTGCCTGCTCGACGTGCCACGTCATCCTCGAGCCGGACGTCTACGACCAGCTCGACGAGCCGTGCGAGGACGAGGAGGACATGCTCGACCTCGCCTTTGGCCTCACGGATACCTCGCGCCTCGGCTGCCAGGTCAAGCTCAAGAAGGAGCTCGACGGTATGGTCGCGCAGCTCCCCAGCGCCACCAGAAACATGTATGTCGACGGTGAGTGTTTCCCGTTCGTTGTTGTTGCCGCTCGAGGCAGATCGAGGGCGACTCTGGGCGCCTCGGTCTGAGTGAGGCTAGAGCTGCAGCTGACCGGTCGATGCGCTTTGCTCTTGACACAGGCCACAAGGCGGGCCACTAAGGAACAGCTCCACGTCCCTTATCTATTCCGACACAGCAGCCGCAGCGCGCGCCGTTCCTTTCAGCCACTCGTGCAATGCCATTGATCACAGCCCACATCCTCGCCGCTCAGCTCAGCTCATCGTCGCGGAGTTGGATCGCACTGAGTCCGCCCGGGCACTGGCGCATCGAGGCAGACGTGGCTTTGGCCCATCCCGCGGTCCCGGTCCCTCGACATCCTCGCTCGTGCATGACGGGACGTGCCAGAGCGTGCGATGCTGGCGGGCCCGCTGTGAGACGGTCGTCGAGGCAGAGGCGAAACACGACCCATCGCGCACATGCACACAGCGGAAAGCAGGGGGATCGACAAGCTATCGCTGCTGCTACTGCCCCACCGAGTGGCTTCTAGGTTCATCGCATTTCATCCCGCCCACGCAGGGCGCGCTGCCACCGTGCGACAGTCCGCTCTCCCTCTCAGGTCTACCCGACCGTCTAGTAGCTCCTATTGGACAGGACGTGGTCCGAGGACGAATCGAGAAAGGTAGGAGGTTCGAGGTCAGTCACCGTCTCCTGCGTTCTGCGAGGGCGGCCCCCACCATCCGTCTGGCCCAGGCCCGACGCAAACTCACCTGCCGAACATGGTCCACCTCTTGGCGTCGACGCCGCACTGCGGGCACTTCTTGCCCTTGATGTCCGGGAACTGGGCCTGGTCAAAGGGAATGCAGAGCGACTTGGCTCCCATCGACGGGGCCCGCTCGTCGGCCGCCTCGTCCTGGCTCGCCCTGGCGGCGGCAACAAGAGGGAGAAGAGGAGGGGGGGAATGGTCTCACGGTCAGCATCTCGTTTGAGTTCTCGAGGACCCGGCACCACGGCATCGCTTCTTGGGCATGGTACGGCACGGCACGGAACGGCACTCACGTCCTTGCGCTCCGGTTCTTGATGGCGTCCTCGCAAGCCTCGACCTCGCACCACGGGATGACGACGTGGCACTTGTCGTTGAGGATCTTGGTAAAGTCGTCCCACTCGGTGCACACCTTCCTCCTGGAGCGGTACTCTGCGTCGGCGCGCGCAAACATGTCGTCGTGGATCTGGTCGAGGAGCTTGGCGATCGAGGCCGGCAGGTCCTTCTGGGCCAGCGGCGCCTTGGCCTTGTTGTCTCGGCGCACTGTCAGGACGCTCTGCTTCTCAATGTCCTTGGGTCCGATCTCGATGCGGATCGGCACGCCGCGCAGCTCCCAGTCGGCAAACTTGAAACCGGGGCTGTAGTTGTCGCGCAGGTCGGCCTTGGCGCGGATGCCGGCGGCGCGCAGCTGCTTGGCGGTGGCGTCGCACGTGTCCATGATGTTGTCCTTCTCCTGCGCCGTCGTCTTGGCCGTGATGCCGCACGGGATGATGACGACCTGGATCTGGGCCACGCGCGGCGGCATCACGAGGCCATTGTCGTCGCCGTGGACCATGACCATGACGCCGATGGTGCGGGTCGACAGGCCCCAGCTGTTCTGCCAGACGTGCAGGCGACCCTCCTTCTTGCCGCGCAGCTCCTCGGGCGCGTTGGGGTCCTCGACCGAGATGTTGAACATCTTGGAAAAGTTCTGCCCGAGGCAGTGCGAGGTGCCGCCCTGGATGCCTCGGCCCGTCGTGGGGACGAAGCCCTCGACGGTCGTGGTGTAGTAGCCGCCGGCAAACTTCTCCTTCTCCGACTTGACGCCGGGTACGACGGGGACGGCGAGCAGCTCCTCGTAGACGCGGCGGTAGTGGTCGAGGATCTGCATGACCTCCTTGTCGGCCTCCTCGAGCGAGATGTGGGCCGTGTGGCCCTCCTGCCAGAGGAACTCGCGCGTGCGCAGGAAGGGCTGCGGGTGCTTGAACTCCCAGCGGACGACGCTGTTCCACTGGTTGAGCTTGAGGGGCAGGTCGCGGTGGCTCTGGATCCACTTGGCGTAGTAGGGGTACATGACCGTCTCGGACGTGGGTCGGATGGCGACGGGGCGCTCGAGGTCGGAGCTGCCGGCCTTGGTGACCCAGGCGACCTCGGGGGCGAAGCCCTCGATGTGGTCCTTTTCCCTCTCGAGGACGTCGGCCGAGACAAACATGGGGAAGTAGCAGTTCTCGACGCCCATCTCCTTGATCTTGGCGTCAAAGAAGGCCTGGATCGACTGCCAGACAAAGTAGCTCCACGGCTTGAGGATGTAGCAGCCGCTGACGTCGTAGTAGTCGAGCATGTCGCCCTTCTTGAGCACCTGGGCGTACCACTCGGGGAAGTCGCCGTCCTTGCGGACCGTGATGCCGATGAGCTCGGCGTCGGGGATCTTGGCGGCGTCGGCGGCCTTCTTCTTGGCGGCGGCGGGAATGGGGCCCTGGGTGGCGCCCGGGTTGGAGGCGGTGGAGCTCGAGGGGGCAGAAGCCTTGGCGACGGGGGTCGAGGCCTCGGCCTTGAGCTTGGAGAAGTCGACGACCTCGACCTTTGCGCCGGTGCTCTGCAGGTACTTTGCAATCTCGGCACCGGTCATGAAGAGGGTCTGGTCGGCGGCTGCGGCGTGGACAGCGAAGGAGTCAGAGGAGGTGGCGAGCGCGGCGTCGAGGGCGACGATCAGAGGGCCGGCGTTGTTGGTGTTGATCGAGAGGGGCGAGACTGTCGTCGGCATAGTGGGGTGAGAGCGCAGTCACGGTGCGAGGGAGACGGGCAGGCGGTCAGCTACGAGTGCGATCGGGTCTGCGAGCGCAGAGTGCTGAGACGGCGCTGCGACTCACCGTCGTCCTTTGTTGCGCCGAGGAACTCTTTGAGGAGCTCGGGGGTGGCGAGGCGCATGTCCTTTTGGTTGAGGTGCTTTGCGAGGGCGTTTGTGTTTGTCTCTGTGTCGTCGCGGGCGATGACGACGACGGGGGTGGGAGCGGCCGACTTTGCCGTCTTTGGCTTAAAGACGAGCGTCTTTGTGTACTGCTGATTGCCCGTAAGGCCGACGGACTGGGCGACGTCGGAGATGGCCTGCTTCCACGAGTCGGGCGACGACGAGGCGGCATGCTTGACAATCTTGTCGGCCTGGATCGAGAGGGCCGCAAGGGCCGAGTTGATGGCGTCCATGTCGGCTGGCTGGCAGGCGAGAGAGCCAAAGGCAGGTGGATGGGTGGTGGTCGGTGGTGGTCGTAGTAGAGGCGCTTGGCAGATGAGGGCCGGTGGAGGTGACGAGGCGAGGCAGGGGCCAAGAAGGATTCCAAGGTGGTTCGGTCAGACGGGGTCCTGCTAGGCAGAAGGTGTTGGCCTCACCGTAGTCCGTACGACTCGACTCGACGCTCCTCGGCTGAGCGCGACTTGGGCCAGGCCGCCTGGCAGGCCCCAGCTGGGAAAAAAGCTTCTTTCGCCGCTTGCTCGCCGCTCGCCGCTCGTTGCTGGCAGCCACGCGCGCACAGAGTCGCACGAGTGAGAAGTGGGCGGGCGGTCGGTGCGCTTGTCCCCGCACACGACACCCCTCGCCCGCTGGCTGGCCTGGCTGGCCTGCGCCTGCGCCTGCGCCTGCGCCTGACCCTGCCTGCCCACCCACCTCCTGGCCTGGCCTGGCCACGCCCGCAGCCCAGCGGGCCAGCGCCAGAGCGCAGCAGACCCCGTCAAAATTTTCCTCCAACGCGCACGCAGCGAGGAGGCAGATGGTCTGGCCACGCCAGGCAGGCCCCCGGCGCGGCTCTCAGGCCAAGCGCAGGTGGCCAGGAAACACACAGAGAGAAAGAAGGCGGCGCTCAACAAGGCGCAAGCAGGCAACAAGCAGGCCCGGGCAGCTCTCAACAGCGCAGGCCCCCCAGCCGCCTGGCCTACTGCCTGGCCTGGCCGCCACGCCGCCGCTGCCGCCACCGCCCCTCGCAACTGCCTCGCCGCCTCGCCTCACCATCCGCTCCACCAACTCCTTGCTACTCTCTCCATCGTCCCATCCCCCTTGCCACACCTCAACCTTACATATCTCCATAATGTCGTTCTCTCGTGGATGCTACAAGTGAGTCTGGGCAGTCGAGGCTCGACAACGGGCACGCGCCGAGAATTCCCATGCTGACGTCTAGGCGCCTTCCTTGCTCTCCAACAGCTGCGGCCAGCGTACGTGTCATGTCTCCTCCTAGGCGTCCCTTGCGCCTGCGAAAACGACGGCAGCATGGACGTGCTTGGCCTGATGACGAGGTCACGGCGGTGGTCTCCGCTGCTGCACAGCACCTCCCTTGATGGGACGGCTCGTCCCAGAAAACGAGGGGCGATCCTGTGCTCAGCGGCGCTACCGGCCTGCCCTCGTCGCCTGCCTCGCTCGTGCCCATGCGCCTCATCGTTGGATACAAGTCCTGCGCTGCTCGGCTCCACACCCCTTCTTGACAGCGGCGGGGGCCCCGATACGACGAAGAGGGCCGGAGAGAGAGAGAGAGCGAGGAGAGAGAGCTGACGAGGAGATGATGATGACTCTGGTCACATTTGTTTTCTACCAACCTTGCTACCTCTGATACCCTGCGCAATTCACTTTGTTGCACGCCCCGACCCCATCTCGCTCCCTTTTCCCCTCTCCTTGCCCTCGCGCTTGCTCGCTGCTCGCACTCCCCGCTGCCCTTCGCTGCTGCTCACGCTGCTGTGCCGTCGCGCCGCCATGCCTTCCTTGGTCGCCTCCCTGTCGATGTCAATCCACGGGCGCAATACAGCCGGCCACAACGCCGCTGCCTGCCCCACCGCCGGTAGCCCCACCTGGTACGTCGACGTCCGACCAGTCACTATTGGGTCCTGGTCGATACTCGGCCGCATTCCGTTTGAGGCCAACCCCTGACGATGTTTGTCTGCACCTCGAACGTCTTTCCATCGCTTACCCCCGATGCTCGACCCGAACAGCTACAGTGAGTTGCTCGAGGATGTTGCACAGTCGTCGCTTCGCCGCGCCCGCGTCTGCCAATCTCCTTGCTGATCCGACTGCTCCTCTGCCGTATTCTTTCCCTCTCCAGACTGCGGTCAGCAGGGTCACGTCTCCGCCCAGTGCGGCATGGAGGCCCAGCCCAAGTCGTGCTACCGCTGCAACGAGGTCGGCCACATCGTGAGCATTGCCCTCCGACCGCAACCGCGACCGCGACCGACTCCACCGTCGTCATTCGGCCTGCTGACATGCTTCGCCTATCACTCTCGATGATCTTCACTCCTTGCTCCCAGTCCCGTGACTGCCCCAACGCTCCCCCTGCCGGCGGCATGGGCATGGGCATGGGCGGTGGCGAGTGCTACAAGTGCGGCCAGCGTGAGTAGGCTAAGTCGTTCCTCCACACGGCTTCGTGTCTCTCCTACGGGAAATAGGCTCGGACCATGACCGTCGCTGACACTGCTCTACCGCACCCTCATCCTGCCTTGACCTTGCTCGGCTGCAGCCGGCCACATTGCTCGCAGCTGCCCCACTGCTGGCGGCGCCTTTGGCGGTGCTCGTGGCGGTTTCGGCGGCGCCGGCGGCCGCACCTGCTACAACTGCGGTGGCGTTGGCCACCTGAGCCGCGAGTGCACCTCGGCCCCCAGCGGTGCCGGCGGCAACATGGGCGGCGGCCAGCGATGCTACAACTGCAACGAGACTGGCCACATCTCGCGCGAGTGCCCCAAGCCCCAGACCAAGAGCTGCTACAAGTGCGGCTCGACCGACCACCTCTCTGCTGGCTGCACTGGTGAGGCCACCGCCTAAGTTCGGTCCACCACCGGTCCACCTCGCGCGCGCGCACGCGCCTTCCCCCTTTCTCTCGCTATCCGGAGGCCCAGCGTGTCTGACGTTACGACACGGGCAGCGCTCTGTCTTGTGACGGCTCGCCTCGACGCTGCGCAGCGCAAGAGTGGCAAAAAGAAGCATCCCTGGCTGTTTCGACTGGCGCAAATCTCTGCAAGAAAAAAGACCAAAGTGACCCTGGCGTCACTCTTCTCCTCTTCGATGCCTCGGCTCGGTATCCATCCAACCCATCCTTATCCTCGATGTCCTGTACGATAGGCTGGCCAGGCGGCAATTCCCATTCTGTTGAACGGCAGGCAGACAGGCATGCCAGTGGCAGGTTGTGCACGGTGCGGATGCGGATGTGGATGCGGGGTTCAGGGGATCTTCTCGCCGCGGTAGCGCACGACGTGTTTGTCCGGGTCCATCCAGAATTTGACCTGGTGGTAAGGAGTCGAAGCGAAGAGCAGAGGGTGGGACGAGATGGCATGAGCGGGAGATGTGGGAAGCGACGACGAGGTGCGCAAGCGGGCCGGGACTGACCTTGATCTTTGGATCGTCAAACACGGCAGCGGACGCGGCGGCGGCGGGGTCGATGTCCTGGTGTGCTGGGCAGCAGTGCCGATGGTGATGGTGGTGGGGCGATGCCGAAGGCTGTACGTCGGGGGACGCGTTGGCTTGGTCGGGGTGCGGAGCGACGAGGATGGGTACGTTCTGACCGCCTCCTCCCGCAGCGATCAGGTCGGGTGGTGGCGGAAAGGGGCCGAGCTTCCCTGTGCATGAGGTGGCGTGGGCCAACAGTGAAAGGGACCACGTCAGCTTAGCCCAGCAGGTTTGCGGCATCCCTCAAGACGAGCGAACCGGGAAGGCGGCGACAGACGAGCCAACCATGCAAGGCGGGACGAACGAGAGACTCACATCCGCCCGCCTGGGCCTTGGAGGCCCTCTCGTCCCTCCTCTGCAACTCTCGTTCAACCTTTGCCTTGGTGAGTGCCCTGACGCGTTTGTCAATCTCGTCTCTCCTCTTTCTCTGCTCGTACAGCTCCAACGTCTTCTTGGCCGCCTGCTCCCGTTTCAGCTCACGCCGTTGTCGGGTACGCTGCTTTAGGCGCTCGTCGACCGCCGCCTGTCTGCATCTCTCACAGTCGCACTCCCCCTGTCCCTGTCCCGCCTGCGATGGTGGTGTCGAGGCGGCAGAGGGGCGCAGCGTGATGCTGATCTGCGGGAGGTGCGGGAGTAGAGCGTCGGGGACGAGGACGAGGAGCAGGCCCAGGCTGCCGAGCAGCGACACGAGGACGGGCACCGGATCGCACACCACGGCGGCGAGGACGACGCTGCACAGGACGATGCATGCCAGGAGCGCGTGTGGGTCGAGCGGATACGGCCGAGGTGCCGGCATGATTGAGCCGCGTTGGGACGAGACGAGACGAGTCGGGACGGAATGCGGTGGATGTGAGAGGTGGGGTCAGAGGGGAGGCAGCGGTGGATGTTGAGCGGCGACGGCCTGCCTGCGCCTGGCGCTGTCTCTGAGGCGCTTGCTTCTCTACAAGGGGCGAGATGGCAATGCGGGGCTGGGAAAAGGGGGGTGCGGGTCGCCACCCTGGCCGCACCGTCTGGCTCGTGGGCAAATGAAGCGGCCTGGCACGCATATCGACGTGGGCCTGCCGTTGTGCCCGCCGGCCGCCGAGGCGTGGGGTCGACGATGTTGCTGGCGCCGTCGTCGCTCGTTGCAGCCGCATTCTAGCAGGGTGGCGCGGTGCTTGTGGACCGGACGAGGCATTCGACGCTGCTGGGCGCCTGGGTGGCGTTGGTCAAGGCGGGGCCAAAGTCGCAGAGCGAGGCCGGGGCCAGAATATCCCTTTGGGATGGGATGGCCTGGCAGAGCGTTGAGCCCCCACACGCCCAAAAGGTGGAGGGGGCTTGGCCAGGCCTGCCACGCCCGATCACTGCTGGGCTGCGCGTCGAGAGGCCGGGGCAGGGCAGCCGCAGGGCCCCGCTGGAAATTACGCGGCGCACCAACCACCACCTGCCCGGCCGGGCCTAACCTCGCTCTCTCTCTCTGACCCCATACCTCGTTGTCGTTGCCTTTCGGACCACTGCCACCTACCAGCCTACTCAACCGACCTCTACCGACCACCGCATCGCCACCTCTTCTCCCCGCTACACCCTCAGCGTATCCCTAGCAGCAGCAAGCACCGCAAACCAAACCACCAGCAGCACCAACCTCTCACCATCACAACCCTCTCCCCCTCCACACCACCACCACCACCACCACCATGTCCGTCCTGGGCTACCCGGGCGCATCCGTCCGTCCCGCCGCCGCACACCCGCACCAGGCCCGTGGCCCCGTCGGCCACCAGTTCTCCCCCTACGACTCCAACGGCGGCAGCATCGCCGCCGTCTGCGGCTCCGACTTCTGCGTCATCGCATCCGATACTCGTCAGAGCACCGGCTACAACATCCAGACCCGCTACAAGCCCAAGGTGTTTCGTCTGTGAGTCTGCGCGCCGGGTAGCAGCAGCAGCAGCAGCAGCAGCAAGTCGCGAGTAGCAGCACAAGGACGCATGCTGATCCTTTCCCCATTTCAAACTCTCACGCCCCCCGCACAGCAACGACAAAGCGACGCTAGCCACTAACGGCTTCGCCGCCGACGCCGAGGCATTCGTCTCGCTCATCCGCCAGCGCCTCGAGTGGTACCGCCACGCCCACGGCCGCTCGATGCCCCTCCACTCGATCGCACGCATGATCTCGACGATGCTCTACGGCAAGCGCTTCTTCCCCTACTACGTCTACAACATCCTCGGCGGCCTCGACGAAGAGGGCAAGGGCGCCGTGTACAGCTTCGACCCCGTCGGCAGCTACGAGCGCGAGTTTTGCAGGGCCGCAGGCGCCGCGCAGAGCCTCATCCAGCCGTTTTTGGATAACCAGGTGAGCAGGCCGGAGTGGGGGAGGGGGCGGGCGGGCCATCGCCCAGCGCACACACGAACTTCGGCCGGCACGCTGACATGCCCCGTGCTCCCGTTTCTTGTCGTCCCAACCCACTCTCCCCTCCCCCCACCGCCCACGGCAGATCATGTTCCGCAACCAGGTCTCGACGCCAGAGCGGCAGGTACCGACACCAGGCCAGATGACGCTGCCCGAGGTGCTCAAGATTGTAACCGACTCGTTCACCTCGGCCACGGAACGCCACATCGAGGTGGGCGACGGCCTGGAAATCTACGTCGTCCGCACGCCCACCAAGCTCGGCGCGCAGGCCGTCGGCGCCGCCTCGGTCGACCTCGCCGCGCTCCCTTCGGCCGTGCCCCAGACCGTCGACGAGGCCTACGGCGGCGAAGACGAGCAGGAGGACGGCGCCGTCATGGTCATTAGACGCGATCTCAAGCTCGACTAGACCGGTGCGGTGCCGTCGATCCTTGTCGTGCTATCCAGCTCGGCTCGGACTCGGCTCGGCTCGGCTTTCAGGACGACGCAGCAGCAGAGTGGCCGGCAATGACATTGACATTACGATGCCGGGCTCCCCCGTCCTGCCCTCTTGAGCGAAAGCTGGTGCGTGCGCGGGACGGCTTGCAAGGTGCGAAGTCTATGCCTGCTCCTCGCCGCCCTCGTTCTCCTCCTCCTCGTCGTCGTGCTCGACGACCTCGTAGCAGTCGGCCGACGCCTCGCTCTGGCGCAGGACGCCGAGACGACACCAGAACCGCAGCGCCCTGACGGCATCCGCGCGCTTCTCGACGCCCAGCTCTTGGACGACGAAATCGACCGAAAGCGTCTTTGCTGCCCCCTCTTCGACTCCCTCTCGATTTGCCTCTTGCTGCTGCTGTTGCTGTTGCTGTTGCTGATCAGCGACAACCGCCATCGACGAGGCCGAATCGACGCCAACAGTGTTGGCGGCGGCGGCAGCGGCGAGTTCGACGACGCTCGCTTCGAGCAGCGAGCACTCGACGCTACACTGCCGCCCATCCTGCATCGTCACCTGCACCTCGACGCTGCCGAGGTGGTGCAGCCACTCGAGCCGCCGCATCGCCTTGGACGTCTTGAACATGTCGCCGTACCGTTGCGTCGCCTCTGCAAACCGACGTGGCAGCTTGCCAAACTTGGCCCCCGAGCTCCCGCTCTCCGCGCCCACCCCTGCTGCTGCTGCTGCCGTTCCCGTCCCCGTCCCTGTCGTGGCTGTGACGGTAGTCGCAGATGGCGCCGCCATGGTAGAGAGGTCCGGCCAGAACTGGCGCGAAACGACGAGCGGGTGCAGCGCATCGAGCACCTCGTTGGTCCCGCGCTCGCGCTCGCGCTCGCGCCCCTCGTGATTGAGCTCGGCATAGTTGCGCCGCTGCCTCTCGACCTTTTGGTGCACGCCCGCATCGACGCGCCGGCTCTCGGTCACGTCGCCCAGCATGACGTCGCACTTGCCCATGTTCTTGTCGCCAAAGCGCTTCTTGAGGATCATGTTGTTGCGGTACTCGCGCATCGCCCGGTAGCCCCGGATCCGCACCAGCTGCTCGGCCATGCTCTTTTCCAGCGCCAAAATGAACCCGGCACGGTCGTCAAAGATGGAGATCAGCATGCCGATCATGTCGCGCGACGTAGACAGGCGGTACTCGCGCCCCGCATCGACCGGCTTCGGCTGCCAGTCTGGGTCCTGGTAGTCCGAGTCCGACGAGTCCGAGCCCGACGAGTAGCCGCCGTTTGCCTGCTCTCCCGCTCCGGTCGAAGCCGTTGCGGTGGCGGAGCGCTTGCGGCTGCCCTTGGGCATCGACTGCCGGCGCCGGCGTCGTCGGTGCGTCGCAGACGTGTCGGCCTCGTCGGCCGACTCGGCGTCGGCGGCTTCGAGCTCGTCCTTGAGCAGGGTAAACTCGGGATCTTCGCCGAGCAGCGACGAGACAATGACCCGGATCGTGTCCCTGCGCGCGCGCAGATATCGGCGGAGCGGCGAGACGACGCGCGAGAGGACCACGCCGGACGGATCGACGTCGCGCAGGGCCCGCACCATATGCACGTAGATCTGGATGATGTCCCTCGTATGAGCGCCCGGATGCAGCAGCCGGGTCTGCAGCGCCTCGGACAGCGCCCGCGCGACGAGGAGCCTGTCGCCGGTCTGTTGCAGGCTCGTCTGGAGATCCTCGAGCGCCGGGATCGAGTCCGGATAGATGGCGATCAGGTCGAAGAGCTGCGACGCCCGCACCGAGCACAGCGTGCGATCCAGGTGGTAGTCGAGCCGGCGCTCCCAGGCGCCCTCGTCCGACAGCTCGTCCTCGACGATCCGGTCGGCTTCGTCGCAGACGTCCATGGCATCCGCCTCGGTCGACGCGGCGTGCTTGGGAGCGCACCGCTGCAGGATCGATTGGAAGCGCGGCTTGGCCTCAGAGTCGAGCCAGCGGACGAGCCGGTCCCGTGCCGCCTCCTCAAACTCCCAGACCTCGTCGTCCTCGTCAGCCCCCTGGCCGTCCAAAGCGGACGTGACCTTGCGGGAGACTTCGGAGTGGAGCACGCCCGTTAGCAGGGTGAGGAGCATCGCCGATAGGCCCAGTGCTTCGGCGCTCGACGCCAGGCGGTCGATGTCGGCCAGGGACTGTGGGCTTTCCTTGAGAGGAACCGCGCGGGCGAGAAAGGTCCTGACGTTTTTGAGGACTCTGTCGTCGATGTGCAGCCTAAGCTGCGTGTGGAATTGGAGCAGAAAGCGCCGCGCCCCGGTCGCACTGCGAGGAGCAACAGAGCAAAGATGAACGCGGTCAGGATTGAGTCTGATCCAACGCGGTCCCGATCAGGTCCTCGAGCAGCAGCACCATCTCACCATTCGATCAGCCCGCCGGGCAGTAGCGGCGAGGCCCACGCGTGCATCCATCGGGCGATGCCTTCGAACGTGTTTGCGACCTCGGTCGACGCCTGCGCGGGGTCCTCTTGACGAAGCGGTGCCAGTAGCTCTTGACACACGAGCGGGAAGGCGGCGTCGCATTTGTCTGCATACCACTCCACGAGAGAGTCTTTGATTATCCGGGAGCGCGATCGGACGTCCTTGGAAGAGGTGGCGATGGGCGGGTAGCTGGAGCTGAGCTGTTCGAGTGCCTCGGATGCTCGCGGTAGGGGCACTAGGATCCAGAGGCGGCCGGTCGGAGTCAGCCTTAGTGGGGAAAGGGCGATATGCGGACGCAAGGGAACTTACCGGCTCGCTGAGCAGCCCAGTCGTAGGATGCGCAGGATGAGGGGTGGCGGGGCTCGAGCAGCTGGCGGATGGTGGCGTGGGCATCGGCTGGCGGTCTGGCCGAGATGGCGTATGACCAGGCGCTGGCGAGAGTCATGCCGAGCAGCGAGGCGGCAGCGGTGGCAAGAGGACCGCCAAAGGTTGCAGGGCGCAAGCAGAGGTCGTGGTGGTGGTGGTGGTGGTGGTGGTGGTGTGCCACCAAGCAGAGAAAGCCAAAAATCCACGATTGTAGGCTTCGGCCTCTGTGTTGAAGTGGAGCAAAGCGGGTCGATGTGTTGGTCTAGCCAGGCCTGGCCGCGCCTCGATGGCCTGGCATTCTCGGTTCCGAGCGCCTGCTCCTTGGCCTACCGTCACGCCGCGCTTGAGGGAGACGCGGGTGGGACGCGAGCCAGACGTGGCAAGCCTGGCCAGGCAGACACGGCAGGCAGGCCTGGCCAGGCCAGGCGGGGTCCTGCAGCTCGGGGCGCGGATCTGGAACGCCGAGGCCCCGCCACTCTGCACGCCTTGTCCTGGGCCAAGCGATGGCCTTCCGAACGGCTATAGACCAAAGCTCAGCTGTCATCGCTTCCCGCCGCTCTTCAAGCAACACACATCAACAAAGCCCCCGGTCGTTTGCACACCATAGGCACGAAGCACAGCAAACATCAGATACCTACCGGTGATGGCCAGTCGTGGACAGGCAACGGCCAGCTACCGGTAGACTGCCTGCCTCATGTTGTTGACCGCCTGGCGGCGTGCTTGAAATGCAAGGGGCCCAGCGACAGGAGCCGCTAGCGTGGGAGCCACTTTGCCGCCCAACGAGCGCCATGCGACGGCCCGATATCGTCCATCCGCCCCTCGTCCGTTCGAGGTAGATCTGTCCATCTGTCGACGGTAACTCTTGCTCGTCGTCGACACACCTGCGCCTCCGGCTGCGGGTGCCATGCGGATGGCCGCTACCGCAACCGGTCGCCACCCTCGAATGGTGTTCTTTACACACTCTATCTCTGGTACCAGCTGTGTAATTACCCGGGCGGCCGGCTGTGTCTCGACCTGCTTGCTTGCTCGGGCCGTATGCGTACGCTGCCATGTTTCGACTCAGCGCGGCCTGGCCCCTCGCTCGCAGGCCGTCCGTCGGCGGATGCGCGTCGAGAACAGGTCTGGCTGAGTTGCGGTCGTCGTACCGGATCGCCTACAGCAGCCTGCCTGCTTCCTTTGGGCCCTTGATGGATCGTCGCTCCCGCTTCCGTCGATCCGAGGCGCAGGTGCCGCTGCTGACACCTGACAAGCAGCAGGACGTCGTTGCGTGCGTCGAAGGGAGCCATCCCCTCCCAGCTAACGTTGAATCCATGAACTCATTCACAACAAGCCTCTCCTCTGGCACTCCGGCTTCGCTTTCGAGGTCCGCAGTCCGGGACTGGATGGACAATTGGGCAGTGCCGCACTCTGTGTAGGAGATCAAATGCGTTCAGGAACTGATCGAGGCCTGGCGTTTGATTCGAGAATCGACGAGACCCGAGGATGTCGAGGGCGTCTTCTACCGGTTTGCCCTGGCTGGCCTGCATACATATATGTACACCTTTGACGACGCCCATTGCCGCCCGCAAGAGTCCCACGCCCGCTGTGTTACCCGGCGCGCCGACGCCCAGCCATGCTCCTGGTCGATCCGTCTCTCCGCTGTCCGTCGATGCTGGCCAACCAGGCGGCGGGAGGCAGGGGTCGCTGTGCCTCCGCGGACGACGCGCGAACTACGGCCTCGCCGTGTCCCGGGAAGCACGCCTGCTTGCCTTCGATCGCCGCTCGCGGTGTGATATTCTTCTTGTCCTACGGAGGTTGCACAAGGTTCGTCGACGCAGGTGCGAGAGCGACCGACGGTCAGGTTGTTCCGCAGACTTAAGCTCGTCCTACCTGAACCTTGCGAGCAGAAGCCGACAAGCTCAGCGATCCAACGTCGAGGTCGAGCTCGGTCGGGGAGGGCAGCACGTCGACGCCCCAAGGCTTGCTGGAGGTCCAGCGGACAGTGCGCTCGGCGGACGACCTTGCCCCTGCGCTCGGCGATACCGTATGAGCCAGCCAGCTGGGCTCGGACTGCGGAACGCCTTTGCAGCTCCTTCGAGGATGGCAGGCAACGGACGACTCTACCTACCACACCCTGTCCGAAGACGGGAATGCACGCACACCGCCCGTACATACAGCAGCCCCAAAGTATCCGTCCTCTCTGCGATCATACCTACCTAGACCGCCGTCCGGGCAACCGTCGGCCCTGTTCGGACAATGAATGAGGGAACGTGTAATCACGAATGGCCGCCATGGTCGAGCCTCCGCTGCGCACCAAGATAGAGGGCAAGCAAGCAAGCGGGCAGGCTTGGTGGACATCAGCATCGCCTCGACCATGACGGCGCCAGGCCGAGCTAATGCGCCAGTCTAGGTTGCGCCGGGCGTGGCTGAGCTAGTAGCCAACAGATAGAGCATCGACCTCTGGCGTGCATCTGTCCCACGCCCATCGCGACGTGGTGTCGGCCCAAGCCCTGGCTACGGAGGCAGGCAGAGTTAGGCGGGAAGGCGGGCAAAGTAGCTAGTGCGCCGCGGCGGAGGAGGCGGCGGCGTCGCCGGCGTCGGCGCTCGCTTCGGTCAGGGCAGGCAAAGGCAGGCAGGCAAGCAGGCAGGCGAGGCCGGCGTGGCTGGCAGTCGTGGCTGGCGTGGCAGTCTGGCTGGCCCAGGAGAGCGTC